CTGCTGCTGCTGCTACTACTACTACTAATACTGCGACTACTACTAATACTGCTGCTGCTACTACTACTACTAATACTGCCACTGTTACTACTACTGCTCTGATCATCGCTCTGATCATGTGATCAGTGACCACATGAAGGTAATCGCTCTGATCATGTGATCAGTGACCACATGAAGGTAATCGCTCTGATCATGTGATCAGTGACCACATGAAGGTAATCGCTCTGATCATGTGATCAGTGACCACATGAAGGTAATCGCTCTGATCATGTGATCAGTGACCACATGAAGGTAATCGCTCTGATCACGTGATTGTTCATTTGTTCACAACATTTAAAAAAACCTGTCCTTTTAAAGCTCGAAAGTGGTCCTCTTTGTTCAGTTAAATGTCTGAAAAGCATCCACCAAACTGAGTTAGAACTAGTTAGAACTGCTTAGAAACGGAGTTAGAACTCTCTCTCTGGTCTCTCTCTCTGGTCTCTCTCTCTGGTCTCTCTCTCTCTGGTCTCTCTCTGGTCTCTCTCTCTGGTCTCTCTCCCTCTGGTCTCTCTCTCTCTGGTCTCTCTCTCTCTCTGGTCTCTCTCTCTCTGGTCTCTCTCTCTCTGGTCTCTCTCTCTCTGGTCTCTCTCTCTCTGGTCTCTCTCTCTCTGGTCTCTCTCTCTCTGGTCTCTCTGGTCTCTCCCGCACAGACCTCTCTCTGTGACTTTTGAACCACAGTGTTTCACATCAGAACATCAGGCTCCTGCTGTAATCGTTCAGCAGTGATTTCAAACGACTGCTTCCAAGTCAATATTTACATGTATATTCAACCGAAGCGCCGCCTTCCCTGTGTTTGTCGAGCGGCGCTTCGATCCAACACAAATAAACCGCTTTAGCTCCGGCGCTAATGAAGTGTGACTGCAGCTAAATGCTAATGTTGGATTTGAGCTTTTGTTCGTGACTTTGTGGACGAGTCTGCTTCTGTCTGAGGATGGTCCATAACGGTTTTCATCACAGTCCTCAAAAGACCTAGGCAGGTTTTCATTCCAACAGAGCAGGAGCACGTCCAGTCCAACCTTCAGAGTCTGGATCCTGCTGGATATAAGAACACCATAGAAAACATTGTCTGATTTGTTCACCACATTTTACTTTCACTTTGAGGAAGAATTCAATTATTTTATGCGTCGTCCTAAATCACGACAGTATTTATCTGAGACTGTACAAACTTCAGAGAATCGGTTCAAACACAGGAAGTGTCCATCAGGAGCGGAGACCAGCGTTTGTAAAAGTCAGGTACCCCAGCTTTAAACACTCTGCTTGTTCTTTCTTTCCTCAGATTTTGAAGCCAGCCGATAAAAAGCTGTACCCGTACGGAGGGGGCGGCGGCCTGGGCTCCGGGCGCCCCGTCACCCCCCCTCGAAACTCAGCCAAGGCCGCCAAGGCTAAGAAATAACACCCACACTGCCACACACCACAGCGCCACCTAGCTGCCCCGCCCCCACACTACCACCCCTCCCACTCTTTCTTTCTCCCTCTCTACCTCCCAAACTTCCTTCTCCAGCAACAAACGATAAACCAGGGTTCAATCATGGCTCTTTCTGGACTTTTTTAAAAACCAACGTTGCTACTATTTTTTTATTTGAGTTTTTTGTTCCGGTGTGAGTGTATAAAGAGAAATTGCTGTATCGTATGTTTGTATAACTTTTTAATGTTCATTTGAAAAAGCACAGACCAGTGTTTGTTCGCAGAAAAGGACAGTGATGATGTTAAAGGTGAAATGCTGGTTCGTTTCAGCGTCTTTCTGGATTGGAGAAACAGACAAATACAAACTAAAACTTCTACACTTTAGAGCCTGAGCTTGTATGACGTCATTAGGCTATAGAGAAAGCCTGTACTGACCCCTTGTGGCAAGAGTTGGTACTGTGTAAATATTAAAAGACCACAAACATTGGAGACATTGGATCTTTCGCTGTTTTAGTGTTTGTGGGATAGAACTGAGCCTCTCGTCAGAGGTCTGTGCTCTACGGGTCCAATTCCAGTCGCCTAATCTCTCTGTATTTTAACTTCTTTACAATTCTGGTACAGTCCAGACAACTGATTTAACACTTGAACTCCCAGAGCAGTCAATTAGACGGGTTTTGGAATCGGCGTATGTAGCTTTTTTTATTATTCATAACTTATGTATAAATGTAATTTATTTCTATGTCATTATTTTTATGATATTCTTTGTTTTTGTTGTTTACCTTTTAGCTCTTTACTAACATTCTTTTCTCGGAAACTAACTCTCCTGCAGTTATGACTCCGAGTTCATGGTCCTGGACTGGTCTTGGACTTATTTTGCTAAAGTGAATGAAGGTTAAGAAAGATGTTGATCAGAAAGTACCATTGATTTGAAGACTGCTCTGGGAGTTGTTAGTTTCAGAATACTTTGGGTTCTAGTGTTAATAATATCCATAACCTCCACGTACTGGACAAACCAGAGCACACATGAACTCATCTGTGATTTGGAACGTTGCACTGTGTCTTTAAAAGTGCATGTGTTGTGTTTCTGGTTGTGCGACTGTTGTGTTGCTTTGTTGTTACTGATGTACAGTCTCCGAGAGGTGTGTGCGACTGTTGTGTTGCTTGGAGACTGTACATCAGTAACAATAGAGAGGTGTGTGCGACTGTTGTGTTGCTTGGAGACTGTACATCAGTAACAACAGAGAGGTGTGTGCGACTGTTGTGTTGTTTGGAGACTACATCAGTGACAATAGAGAGGTGTGTGCGACTGTTGTGTTGCTTGGAGACTGTACATCAGTAACAATAGAGAGGTGTGTGCGACTGTTGTGTTGCTTGGAGACTGTACATCATTAACAATAGAGAGGTTTGTGCGACTGTTGTGTTGCTTGGAGACTGTACATCAGTAACAATAGAGAGGTGTGTGCGACTGTTGTGTTGCTTGGAGACTACATCAGTAACAATAGAGAGGTGTGTGCGACTGTTGTGTTGTTTGGAGACTACATCAGTGACAATAGAGAGGTGTGTGCGACTGTTGTGTTGCTTGGAGACTGTACATCAGTAACAATAGAGAGGTGTGTGCGACTGTTGTGTTGCTTGGAGACTGTACATCAGTAACAATAGAGAGGTTTGTGCGACTGTTGTGTTGCTTGGGGACTGTACATCAGTAACAATAGAGAGGTGTGTGCGACTGTTGTGTTGCTTGGAGACTGTACATCAGTAACAATAGAGAGGTTTGTGCGACTGTTGTGTTGCTTGGAGACTGTACATCAGTAACAATAGAGAGGTTTGTGTGACTGTTGTGTTGCTTGGAGACTGTACATCAGTAACAATAGAGAGGTGTGTGCGACTGTTGTGTTGCTTGGAGACTGTACATCAGTAACAACAGAGAGGTTTGTGTGACTGTTGTGTTGCTTGGAGACTGTACATCAGTAACAACAGAGAGGTTTGTGTGACTGTTGTGTTGCTTGGAGACTGTACATCAGTAACAATAGAGAGGTGTGTGGACAGAACCAAACCAGTGATAAAGTAGATTAGACTAAACTAAGTCTAATCTACTTTATTTCAAAAGATGAACCAAAGTCAAAGATTCCGACTCAGTTTGTAATATGATTATATATACATATATATAATATATATATGTATATAATGTGTTTATTATATATATATAATATATATCCTCTGCTTCTCCAAATCTAGATTCATTCTTAAAAACTGTTTCCAGAACGATCCTTTCTTTTAAAAAACTCTGGTCTGTGTCTTTTTCCAAATCATTGTAAATGAAAATGTTGATAAACTGTGGCGACTCGGAGCGCACAAACCACTGACTGCTTCGCATTCTATGTTCAATACGTTTATTTCTGCCCCTAAAGTTTAACTTGAAATAACCGAGTGTTGGGCCGGACGAGGGGTTCTTCCTTTTTGTCCAGTTTTTGTAGATATTTTGAATTATTTCTTGTTTTGTGCGACCACAAAGTAATAATAAATCATGTTTTAACCATTTGCATCTCATCAAAGGGTTGTGTAGCTGTGTGTAGTTGCGTTGCTTTGCCCTGAGATGGTCTGTGGGTATAAAAGAGTTCATCTCTGGTCCATTCTATTGGAACTTATTTATTGAACCGCAGCAGTCGTCTGGAGGACTGTACGGTGATCCACCGACAGCAGATCAGAGAATCGAACCAAACAAAGGAACCGTAAAGATGATAATAGTTCATGGCGATGTTAAAGAACAACTCAAAAACACTTTCTCACCCAAAAATAATTAAACAAATTTAAATCGATCCCATGATGCTTCACTCCGGGGTATTTCTGGCTAAGTAATGAGTTAGTTTAGATCATTTATAGAAATGCGTCTCATTCCGTCACAAACGGCAAAGATGAGAATCGTACAAAACACAGAAAGATAAATATTTACTGGACCTAAAAATGTTTGTTTTTAACTGAAAGATTCTGAATGTTTTGAATATGTTTAATAAAAATATTTAGTGACGCTCTAGTTCAGCACAACCAGCCAAAACATTAAAACTATCGCTGTAAGAAGAGGTTTGTTTGTGAAAGTGTCATTTGTTTGAAGAAAAACAGAAAATCCTGTAAATGTTTATTTCTCGTTGCACTAAACCCGTCTATTCCAGTCATAGAAAAACAAAAGGTTGTCACGGTAAAATAAGAACTTATTGAATAACGTGGTTTTATTTTGTGAATTGGGGCGATCGAAGGTGTTATTTCTTGGGGAGTAGTTTATCATTTCTCCATGAATTTGATTTTTGTGTTGTTTTTGAGCCTGACATGTTCTGGGTTTTTAGTAAAAGTCGTAGAGAACCTAAAGTGTCTCTGATGCTTGTAAACATGCAGTATTCAGTCATTCCAGTGTATATTAGGCCGTCGTAATCTGACCCATGAACCTTCTTCTTTGTGCAGTGTCAAGTCTGTTTTTATCTTCATTTGTAGTAAATGTTCTGAAACTAGTTTCTTTCCCTTTCATAGTTTTCTTGTCTTAAGGTTTTGGCTGGATGCTGCTGTTCCTCCAAAGTCTCAATAACTTGTAAATAACAATGTTAATCAAATATGGCTTTAGTTTCCCACTTTTACACACATTACTTTTAAGAGGGAACAAGATCCTTCCTGAGGAGTCGATTTGAATCATTTCTCTTTTGTGATTAAAAGCCCTAACTTTGAAATAATGTATAATCTTATGACATTAGTTTTCTTGAGTGTTCTGCTCCGTGGGTTATGGCGCCCTCTGCTGGTCATCAGAGGGAGTGGCCGCTTGTAAAGTTCAGCACAGATTAGCTTGATATTTGTCCTATTATAATCTAGTAATCTTGTTATTTTAATACAGATTCCACTAAATTAGAAATGTGTTTTTGGACCCACATTTCTCTGCCTTTCCATAACTCTGCTTTTACTTTCAAACTCCTGCTACTATCATTAAAAAAAATCTATCCCTTTATCTCTAAATGTCCTTTTTTTAAAGAAATGTGCATTTATTCAGGCAATATCAATAAAATAAAACTGTGTAAGCTTTGTGTATGTCCTCCTCACATCCGGAAACTCAGGAAGTGAAGTGCATGCGTTCATTTAGTTTTTTTATGCTTTGGAACCGCTATATTTTAGTCTTTTATTAACTACTACTGCCTTTGCCCATTTTATTTGTAAGATAAAAATCCTATTATGAGCTCAAATTGTACAGAATTTATGGCATTACATACAATGGCAGTTTTGTTTTTCTCTAAAGCTGGAACAATATAAAGTCATTCCCATCGCTGTAAACACGAGGCTTATTACACCGCGCTCCAACCATTGTCATAAACCTGTTTTCTTTTTACTAATGTTAACCGCTTTGACACAGCATATAAACTATAGCGTAGGATTTTTTTAACCAATCAGGGAATACGCCACGCACTGTCGCTGGGTAGAAAACTATTGTAACGGTGAGAAAGACGATGGTGATACAATAACAGAAATGAACAGTATTTCTGCTTTGTATTTTATTGTTTTCAAATCACAAACTGTCTCTGTTACAAAGTAAGAATAAAATTGGAAAATTTTGTATAATTTGTCTTTGTCTTTCTTGGGATTTTAAACGAGGAAACCAGAACAATGTTGTGTATAAATATATACGTTACTATGAAACTGATTTATTATTTTAGTTTGACACCAGAAAACAGAACCAAACATGAATCTTTAGACAATACGGAAAACCTCCTGTTTCATGCTCTTCTCTAAAACCATGTAATAATTAAAGCCGCAAGCGGCTTTGAACGGCCCTCGCCGCCCCGCACCACGCCGTCCCGCACCAAGCCGCAACGCGCCGCTCCACAACGTACCACGCAGCACCGCGCATAGTAGGCGGCGCCGCCGTGTGATGATTGGTTCCCGTAGCCATAGAAGATTGTTAGTCATATTGTAATGAATATGATAAGTAGAGCTGGTTTGGCTCCCCATGTAAACTTT